CCAAGGCGTATATTCCTGCTCGTGGAAAAAGGGGGCGGAAAGAATGACCTTTCGCCCCGTTCGTATTCAACCGTAACCTCAATTCTACTCAACTCCATCGCCCTGCTTATACGTCTCCAAGACACGCTCCATCTCCCTACCAATGAACTTATCCATGGAGCTGACGGGCATCCCCCACGCCTTCACCCTCTCCGTATCCAAGATTCCACACACTCTGCCAAGCCTCTCATCATCAACATCCCAGCCACAAACAGATTAGAGCCATCACCGATCTCCTCATCAGTCATATACACCGTTTGCAAGTCTCTCCCCGTCGCTCTGCCCAACTTTCCCAACACTTTATCCACCGTTGAAAACTCGTCCGCCAGCTCAATCTCCTGCTTGTCGAATCTCTCGGGGCCCATAAACGCGGCTGCGCCAAATCTCCCAATCGTGTTCGCATCGACCACCGGTATGTACAATGGCGTCCCGCTGCATGGCCGTCCGCCAACGTCCCTGACTCCCTGGTCCACGAGCCCAGTGTACATGAGCACCAGGGGCCGGACGTGGTTGCTCACGATTTGTAAGAGTCGGTACTGTGTGGCAGCGTATTCACAGCTCTCCATTCCGGCGATGGGTGTCTAGTTCCCCTTCACGACGTCCGCCAATTACCAAATCGGGAACTCTGCTGAACAGCTCCGCATCTCGAATCCCGCCGGGCGGAGTTCTGCCGACCCACTTCGCCGGGACGCACCGGCATTTCCTCAATGAGCCTCTGTCTCAACCGTGGTGACACCCGCTCTTATAGGAGGACGGGATGCCCGAGTCCATGCAAGGTCAGTCCTCACTGCAAGAGTCGGCGAGGCGGACAGTCTTGTTTTGCTTCTTCTTCCTGCAGGCGTACAGGTTAGGGGTCTAGAGTGCGATGGGAAGCTGGGACTCTGGCACTCGTGGAGCGAGGCCGAGGCCGGTGATGTTGATCGGTGTAAGAGGGTGTGGATTTCGAGCCTGCTGGCGATGGAGGAGGCGGGGGGGGTGCGTTGAGGACATGGGCGAATTGTCATGAAATATCGGCTGTCATGCTATTGCTTGGCTCATCGTTTCGGCGTTGGTTTCGTAATGACTCGCGTGTGAGGCCAGTTGTCATATTTCGTGGCCCGCACCGATGCCAACGACGGGATGAGATGTCATTTTGGCCAGATATCACACATGGCAGGAGAAGACTTGTTTTTGCTTCACAAAAGCTCGAGTCTGACTTTGCACCGACTTGGTCTGTAGTCCATGGTTGTGTAGCGGGAAAACTCAAGAGGTTGAACTGCGCCTCGCATACCGGGTAGGCTAGTCTGCCCCAGAATTCCATGCTCCCTGCGGGACCCTCCAGATTTATTTAATCATCTACGTTTCCTGACCTAGGCGCCCGAGATCCTTTCCAACATCGCCTTGTCCATCAACATCCAGCCTGCTCTGGGCCATCGACGTTCCATCAATGACCCCCCGGCACGGCAGGTAGCCAGCTCTTTGGAGTCGACGAAAATGGCCCCCAAAAGACTCGACACAAGCCAGCCCAAGGGTGAGCGCGGTGACGGCGCATCGCTCCTCTCCCCCATCGCATACGACGACGACGCAGCGTCCCTGCATTCCCGCAGCGACCAAGACACAGACAGCGATGACGACCAGCTGCAGCTACGGGCGCGAAATAGCCGCGAGCTGCGCGCTGCGGATAGGATTGTTCTCATGGAAGAGGAGGAACTCGACCGTTTGGTCACCACGTCCAGACGGGAACAAGAGCGTCAGCGACGGGGCTCCGGGCTCTCGGTTCCCAGTGCGTTGAACATCTTTGCCCGTCGAGGAAGCTCATCGCAGCTGTCGTCGCCGAACGCCTCCATGGAGAACTTGGTTTCTGAGAAGCGAAAGGCCAGGCGCTCTAGGAGAAAACAGAAGCGGAATAGACTGATCCAGGATGCTCGTCATGGCGAAGACGGCGAATTAATGTACGAGATGGAAGAAGGTGGCATGAAAGACGGCAGCTCCACGGGCGACAGCACCGAACGAGAAGATAGCGGCGAAGCGGATCGACGACGACTAAATCTGGTGGCACAAGCTAGGGACAGCCGCGGCCGTAGTTGGCGCCGATGGGTATTTTGGCATTCACTTATTGCCATTGGATTTGCCATTCTCGTCCTGGTTGCGTGGAAGTTGTCGAGAAATCGTAGGAGTGCCCTGCCCAAGCAGCACCTGGTCAGCAATGGAACGGCCCTCTTCGCCCCAACCACCATCATTCTGAGCTTGGATGGCTTCCGAGCTGATTTCCTGCAGAGAGGGTTTACGCCCAGGCTCAATGCCCTTGTGAAGGAGGGCATCTCGCCGCAGTACATGATGCCGTCTTTCCCGTCTCTTACGTTCCCCAACCATTTCACCCTGGCCACGGGCTTGTATCCCGAGTCGCACGGCATCGTCGCCAACAAATTTTGGGACCCAGACTTGAATGCCGAGTTTCACCACACAGACCCGGCGAGGAGCCTGGATCCCAAGTGGTGGAACGGAGAGCCCTTCTGGGTGACGGCCGAGAAGCAGGGAATTCGCGCGGCGGTGCACATGTGGCCGGGCAGCGAGGCTCCGATCCAAGACACCTTTGCGAGCATCGTCGATAAATACAATGGCAACGAGCCGCTGGACAGCAAAGTCTCCAGGATTCTGGGCTTCCTCGACATGCCGGGAAAGGAGAACCCGGCTGTCGATGTCAAGGATACACGGCCGCAGCTGATTGCGGCGTATGTACCCAACGTCGACACCGATGGTCACAAGTATGGCCCGAACAGCACGGAAATCATGTCGACGATTCAAAGCGTGGATACCATGATTGATAACCTCTCCAAGGGCCTCGACGCCCGCAACCTTACGAATATCGTCAATGTCATTGTTGTGTCTGACCACGGCATGGCAACCACGGATACTTCCCGTGTACTTCAACTCGAGGACCTGGTTGACACGTCCAAGATTGAGCATATAGATGGCTGGCCACTGTATGGCCTGCGACCCAAGGACGACAAGGATACCCAGCAACTATACAATGGGCTCAAGGACAAGGCCAAGTCCAACCCCAACTTTGACGTCTACCTCCGCGATGTCGACATGCCCCAGCGCTATCACTTCTCCAAGAACCACCGCATTGCGCCGTTGTGGATAGTGCCCAAGGTAGGATGGGCGATTGTCACCAAGGATGAATTTGTGGTGAATGAGGCCAAGGAGAAGGGACTCGTCTACCATCCTCGTGGCCTGCACGGCTATGACCACCAACACCCTCTGATGAGAGCTATTTTTGTCGCTCGAGGACCAGCGTTCCCGCACCAGGGGAATAGCAGGGTCGAGCCGTTCCGTAAGTTGAACCCCCTCCATTTTCTTTCATCCCTTCTTTCTTTTTTTTAGTTGCCCCTGTCACGGGAAGCAGCTTCGCTAACACGACTATCCCCACAGAAAACCTCGAAGTGTACAACATTGTATGCGACTCGCTGGGCATGGAGCCGCAGCCCAACAATGGAACACTGAGACTGCCGCTGAAACCAGTCGGCACCCACGATGACACGAAACCACAAGAAACGCCCGAGGATCCACCGCCGCAAGAGTCGTCGGCTCACCCTACCGAGCTTGTCCCCACGCGGCCGACCAAACCCCGGCCCTCTTCGCCGGCGATTGGCGTTGATCCGCCGCCGCCGCCGAGCGCATCCGCTTCCGAGCCGTCCTCGCCGGCGGCTGATGCCCATCAGCCCACGCGGCCGACGAAGCCTAAAGCCTCTTCTTCACTGGCAATCGCTGACGATGAGCCAAAACGGCCCACGAGGCCTCCTAAGATATCTAGTACGGGGACACAACCCGCGGCGCAACCCACAGAGGGCAGTGGAAACAGGGACGACGAACAGGCGGCTGATGAGGATGGGTCGCTTGGGGATAAAGTCAAGGGTTGGTGGGGTTGGATTACAGACACGGTCGGCGGGATATGGGATTCCATCACTGGCTCCGGCTCCGGGTAGCTGGATATGTACATACTAATGCTCACTTTTGTTCCTTGACAATGCCACTACTGCAGCAACGATGCGCATCTCGTGCAGGTTCCGTCTGTAGAGAACCTCCACCCTTTGACTGAAATGTGAAAATTGCGGGGGTCCCGGCTCTCAATTTCTCTGAGAAGATCGAGGTGAATTTCACAGCCAGCTGCGGAATCTGCTCCGTGCCCGCCCACACGCCCCGAAGGGACCTGCTCGTCGCAAAAGTAGCCTTTACACGATGTCAGAGTTTTGGCCCGGCTCCTGCAGCTGTGGCTCGGTACGCTGCAGGAGCACAAAACATAAAACACCAAACACGATGAAGCAGTAGCCCTGCTGTGCATTTCCATTAATGATGGTTGAATATGTGATTTCTCAAAGATTGCAGAGTCCTTGTGAGGCTAGGTGTTTTAACGACTCTGCCAAAAGTGGAGGCCTCACACAATGCGAGGTCTTAATTTGGTAGACGTGTATTTTCCTTACAACACTACATATGTAGGCATGCGCGTTTGGCAAACTAGTTCAAAACCCGCTGGTGAGCTCAACTTGCTTCTGGCACACAGAAGTTACATATCAAACGCCGTCACTGTCCACTGGCGATTGGCATTAGTCAACGACACAACTACACAACTACCAAGGCAGTTTTGATACGAGGCAAGGGTAGCAAATACCACAGGACTTTAAGCAGGAAACCGCGCTCAACATTGAATAGAGTCCCCGCCAACAATGGCAACTACAGCGCACAATCCTTTCTTCAGATCCTGATCCCATTAAGCATTACTGGCATCATGAGTCATCGGGAGACGAAATCGACATCTTGGCCGGGTCTCCAAGCGTTGCTCTTGTTGTGAAGGAGAATTAGGACATATATACGGACGGTAGTACTAACTGCATACATCTGTTATACATACACTGCGTCTGGCCCAGACTCTCTCATGATAGAATATGCTTCCCGTTGTCTACATCCACACTTCATTCGGCTTACACAACAACCAGTGCAGCAACTGCAAGGGCAAAGGCAGTGGCAGGACCAACAAAAGCGGCACCCGCAGTGACGGGGGTGTTACTAGGTTGAGGGTTTCCGCCGCTGCCTCCGGAAGGCTGAGGGTTGCCTCCATTACCGCCCGTAGGCTGGGGATTACCCCCGTTACCACCAGTTGGCTGAGGGTTGCTTCCATTGCCACCAGTTGGCTGGGGGTTGCCTCCATTACCGCCAGTAGGCAGGGGATGACCCCCGTTACCACCGGTTGGCTTAGGGTTCTCGTTACCGCCAGTAGGCTTAGGGTTTTGACTGTTGCCTCCCGTAGGCTGAGGATTCTCACCATTTCCACCAGTGGGTTGAGGTTTGCCTCCATTACCGCCGGTTGGCGGAGGGTTCTCGCCATTACCGCTTGTAGGTTGCGGGTTTCCACCGTTGCTTCCTGTGGGCTGGGGCTTCCCAGGAATGGTCACGAATGTAGTTTCCTGTGGAGGTGGAGGAGGAGGAGGGTTCTGGCCGCCAGTAGGCTTGGTAGGCACAAGAGTCTGTGTTTGTGTTTCCTCAACGGGGCAAACAGTGGTATACACGGGGATGACCTCGGTGGTAGTGTGACCGACAGGGCAGTTGGTCACGGTGGGAGGGCATTCAGAAATCGTGTAGGTCTTGGTGGTATACACGGTGCTAGTGGTCATAATAGGAGCCCCAGTAGTTGTAGGCTTAGGGGGTTGAGCAGTCTCCGTAACAGGGCATACTGTGGTGTACACGGGGATGACTTCCGTAGTAGTGTGACCAACGGGGCAGTTGGTCACGGCGGGAGGGCATTTGGAAATGGTGTAAGTCCTGGTAGTGTAAACGGTGCTGGTGGTCATGGCGAGTGACGTTGTAGTGCCTCCATGCGCTGTCGTAGTTGCCGTCCTGGTAGAAGGAGCGGAAACAGTAGCTGAACCAGAGCCCGTGGAAGTGCTTCCGGGAGCCGTCGTGTTTTCAGTCTTGGTGGAGGGAGTAGAAGTAATGCCAGCACCAGAGCTAGTGGTGGCGCCTCTAGTAGCGGTCGTAGTGTGGTGGCCCTGAGTTGACGTCTCAGTCTCAGTGCAGGGCTCCTCGGAAGTGGTAGTGTGATGGTGCTTGCTCGTGGTGTGAGGCTTCTCAGTGGTCCCAGTCTCGGTGCAAGGCTCTTCAGAGGTGGTACTGTGTTGAGGCTCGGTCGTAGTATGATGAGCGTTGGTGGTAGTCTCGGTCTCGGTGCAAGGCTCTTGAGATGTCGTTGTGTGCGGCTCTTTGGTCGTAGTTTCGGTGGTTTGGGCCTTGGTGGTTGTTTGAGGTGGTGTTCCCTTATCAATACAGTTCTTCTCATTGAACTCGTCCTGTGCTTCCTGCAACACCTTAATGAGAGGGGCAGCGAGGTTCTTGGCAATGAGCTGGGCAATGGTAGGAACCTTAGAGACCACGGCGGCAATGAGGGCGTTGGAGCCGATGTTGATATTTATGACCTGCTCGCGGACGAGAGCACAATAGTTGCCATTCTGAATTACGTTCTTCTTGGCCTTGAGATCAGCGAGCAGAGTCTCACCCTTGGCTTTCATAGCCTTGACGGGGTCCTGAAGGCCGAGAGCGTCACCCAATGTCAGATCGGCCTGAGCATCGACAGTAAGCTTCCCTTCCTGCAGTGTCTGAATGACTGCGGTTGCAGCATCCTGAACTGGTTTAGCATCGGTGGTAAATCCCTTGACCTGAGCATCGAGCTTTTCAAGCCCTTGGCCAACTTTGGTCATGACATCAGTGATGGCATTGATATCGCGTTCAACCACAGCAGCAGCAGGGTCGACGACACCGGCCGCAACGCTGGTAGCCAGACAGGCAACAGCAACGAACTTCATGTCGGCTTGAAGATTAGAGCAAAATGCCCCTTACAGATCAGCAAATAACGAGTGACTAGAAGTTGGGATCACTTCAGCAGCTTGAACAGCCGGACAAGTTCTTCTGGCTCAGAAAAGAGTAAAAGCAGTCACTGGAACCAGTTCAGACAGCCGGCGTCCACCACGGGTGCTTTATATTATGTGACTACAACTGATTAACGGGGGAGCATCCAGTGATGGAGGAGTCGAGGACCACTCACATGGCGCTCACAGGGGCAACTGCATCTTGAGAACCCAATGGCGGGCTGTCAAATAAAGGAAGACTGTCCCTCGCCAACAGTAGAAAAGAAGCCATCGACAGGGGGTCCAATCGCAATCAAGAGCAAGCCTCTTGAAGTGGGCTGCATCGTGGTGTCTTGAGGGCTGGGCGTACATACAACTTGGATACGGATACCCATTCCTGGGTAGTCGAATGCCACGAATTCTCTCATCGGGTGAAAAGCCGAAATCGTGATGCCCCGGGTCTATGATGCTCGTCGTAGCGAGCTCGAGTTCAATTTAGACAGGCCATTACCTTGAGCTGACGGTCGGATTGCTCGGGCAGCCCGCCCCAACGTCGGCAGCGTCGTCTTCTTCAGTATACATGCCCGCATCTCTGGAAGGTGACGTTTGTCGAATGGTGGAAATCGTGATGCTTGATGCACCGTTACGGTTTCCCCGGTGGAGTCGCCAAAGTGGTCATCGGTCTGCAGCCACCAGCCACCAGACATGGATGATTATTCGTTCCTGCAGGGGGGATTGTCAGGGGCATGCAGGCCAAAGACCAACATTGAAGGATCGGAGTGTCTTCCGGAGGCTTACATCAATTGTACTGACGAGGTGACGGTGCCTGTTTTCCGCGGCCTTTGCCACATTTGGCCCCTGACTGTGACTGATGGTGCCAGCCTTAAGTCAGGAACTATCGAAGTTCTTTTAGCGCATCGATATCGCTTGGCTGTTTTCCGTAGGTGCCGACGACGCCATATCGATTCCTTGTTCCTGCATCAAGCGGCAGGGCGATCCTTGCCACCCGCAAAAGGCCAGACGCGTCCCTGGGCTCGCAAGTCACAGCCGTCAAGCGGATGTGAGAAATACCCCGTAAATCGTTCGTCAAGAGCTCAAGCGAAGGAAAAATTTTTGTTCAAATGAGTGCTTGATCGGGCCCAACTACCCGCACGACTCCCCCGCGCGGAGACTTGCCAGTGGGCCTAGACTCTCTGGAGGTGGGAAGATCGCGGGGGAAGCCAAGAAGTCGGTCGAGTCACCTGTCGTCTGAACTCCGGAGCGGTTCCACGTCCTTGCCCCTGACTACAGAGACCAAGAGGGGCGCGCTAGCAGCGAGACCTCGCTTGCACTGACGTCTTTTCCAAGATGCCATCACTCTCGGCTGCCCAGTTTCGATTGTATGCTCTAGTCATGGTCTGTTCAACTTCTCCCCCCTCATGTCTACCAGACTCGATATTTGGTTTTGCCTAATTTCTGCTCTTGTCCGCCCGGGTTCCCAATGCGTGGTGCGGCGGCGCCCCTGGGCCCTGTCCATGCCTCTCTGTCCCGCCGTCTCTCCCGCCTTCGCTCTTCCACCCGTCAGACATATCATGGCACGTTCAAAAGTGGCCGTACTTGCATTGTGGCTGCATGCAACTGTCCACCCGCCCACTGCACCAGTTTGCCATGTATGTACGTAATTTCGCTATTCCGAGGCAAGTGGCAAGGAGCCTCCCTAACCCCGGCACCGTCCATGGCACCGTGTCATCGGCATGACTTGACTAACCTGGTACGGGGTGACTCCGTACTCAACAGCAAGGATTGAGCAAAATGCCCCGCGATCCGGATTGTCAAGGACCCAGGCGCCGGACGGCTTGCCGGCGTGCACATCATTTCCTGGACGTCTCTAGCTGTCATGTTTTAGTGCCTCGTATTGGATAGCGCTCCATTAATGACTTTTTGGCGAGAGTGCGGCTCGGATAAGCTAACTTGAGTTTAGGGTCGCCTGGCCCTTTCGGCTCGCGGGCTCGACTCGTCGATGGACGTAATAATCGTGAGCCACCCAACACCTAAAAAATGTGGGGCCGGCTCGATTATCCGACAAGCTGAACTGTCAAACTACAGTGAGATGCAAAAATATTGAGTAGACCAGGTACCTGGCTATTGCGCTCTATTATACAATAATGATTCATGATGCTTGTTAAGAGGCAAATATATTATGCTACAGGTTGGAGCTTGCAAAGCTGACTTCTTGCTAATAAGAGGGCACATGCATGCTGGTGGAGATTCTCGCAGAGCCTATGTACATTCTCGCGGGCTTATTGTCGACTGGTGTATCGCGAGACGTCCTGACAGCAAGACACCTAATACCGGATGATGGATGACGCAGGGTTGAACATTGACGGCAAAGACAAAGGAAACATTCGTATCTCGCTATAACATCTAGTCTTTGAGCGATGAGGTGAAAGAAATAACCGACATGTTCGCTCTAGATAAAACCTTGCTACAATGCTGACGAGGGTCCCAATTTTCTTCCAATGACTTGTGGACATTTTAAGAGCTGTTTAAACCTAGCCTTGTGCAAACCCAGCTCTACGGAAAATGATGTGACGAGGGGTAAACGAAACTTCAACGTCGGACTAAATCACGATAAGAGTTAGCTACCAAGTTTGTTTTCTGGGGACAGATGTTAATATTGACTAAGCAGAGTGGGGCGTTGTTTTGTCTTGATGCTTAGATTTTATTAGTGTCATGAGTTTTCGTGGTGGGAACGAAGAGAATACTAGAAAGTATTGGGCAAATATCTCACGTTACGATGACTATTTCGTCCTTTGGATCGGTAGTTTCTCGTCATCCAGAGGTCAGTTCAAATTCAGATTGCATGGTGCTTAAAGCAGCAGCACATGGGGTATGCTTGGAAGGCACTAGAACAATAGAACACAAAGGCTTCCATTAGTTAATAAAAGGTGTACAAATACAAATATTATTGTCACTTTGCAAGTTCACAAGCGAGTGAAGACGCTGGCTGTAGTCGTAGCCTGCAAGGCACGGGACCCATATTTCTTGGACATGCTGCCAATGGGAGTCGCGTTCTAGACGCGTCACACGAGGCTAATCCCGCGCGCCACCAATCGATAAGGACTCGGGTCAATTAAACTTGTTTCGTTGTCATCACTTGTGAGAGCAACGCATTTGAGGTGTTTGGCCAGCCAGCTGCTTCAACAAATCGTGCGCTCCGCAGTGCGTTCGTTTCTCTGGTACAGCGAGCCGTCTACAAATCCAGCTGTTTCCGTGACGTGTCGGGGCGGTGCTAGGTTCCACAGCTCGCCTCATTGTCTGAAGTGCACGGATGCCTGCGTCTTGGTTGCCTTGTTTGCAGGACTCTGAGGGGTGGATATGGCAAATCCATCAACCATGAACCGTCGAGTCGAGGATGCAATAGAGGAGTTGACCGTGCAACAGGTCTTACTCAGCTCTCTGGAAGGCCAGACATGGGACGGTATCGAGGAGGAGCGGAACATAGTCCTTCGGAATATTGAACGCCTGAAGAGCCGCATCAAGAAGCTGCGGCGAGAGGCACAGGCACACACCGACGACAAAACTGGTGAGTCTTGTCCGTTCATGATTTGTATGATGTGCGTTGCTTGATGCCAGCAGCAGAACTTGAAACCTTATGACATCACTCTCATTACGGCCTAACACCCTTTCTTTTAGATGTTGTTCGCTCTGCATCACAAGCGCGATCTCCATCCGACTCATCAAACAGTGAGTGCGTTGTTTGTTTTGTCTATGTTTCTATGCTCTAGCAAAGCCGTCTCTACAACCAAAGTTCGTGAAGTTATTCACGTTCTACACAGTCGACCGGTGTGAAATGCCTGTCATGTTTCACCGGGCCACCAGACGAACTGTTTGTACCCCATTTCATGATCACAAGACTCAAATTTGCATCTCCTACACCCCACTGCATTTCGATACCTAATCTTGCCAGCTGGTATGAACTGTATCGTGCCAGCTGCATGATCAGGCAAGTGTCCGAGAACGGCGGCAGTGAATGTGTCCTTGCACAACGCACACTGTTCGTCACACGGAGGAGAGGCAAACGTTGCTACGAGATGAGATAGTAGCAGCATCTCCTGCATCTTTTATACAAGCATCTTTCCGCATCCCTAACCGATGAGCATACAGAACTTTCGTGCCCTCAACCCATGACCCCAGTCGCGACAGGCGGGCGCTCGATCAAGATGGACTCTTCCTCCAGTTATCACGACATCTGGGATAGCCCATCTTCAACATCTTTACCAAGTAGAAAAAGGGATCTTCGAGCGGCCGATGGCTTGACAGTCGATGGGCAGAATAAGTCTAGACGCACGACTCCTATTCCCGGAGGCAAACGTTCCTCCACCCCTTCTAGGCAAGCCATGGAGTATAACGACACCGAACCTATTGATATCATTGATCTCACTGGGTATGCCTGCGCTTGCAGCTATGTAATTACTTGCTCACATGCTAACAACAACAGTGACGATGTCGACTTCGATTCCACCATGGTCGCCGAACAAATCCGACAGCAGCAGCGGCAAGAATGGGAGAACCGAGATAGGAAAATGGCGATGCAACTTGCTAGTCAACCCCCCGTGGTACCGTCGACGTCCTCGGACATGGCTTCCGACGAGATGGACGCTTTTTCGAGGATCATGGCCACGGAGCGAGCCAACACAAGAGGACCAACAGGATGGAACTGGCAGTCTTTGCCGGCATCTAGTACTCAAACACCAATGCCACCCGCAACTATAAAGGGAGCCTCAACGCCAGGGCCGTATGATCTGAGCTGGGACAATCCAAGCCCATGGGATAGATCTCCTGTTCCAACCCCGGCCTCGTTACCTAGTAATGGATTCCAAGTTGCGGGCATAAACTCACCTAGTGGAAATCGCCAGAGCTCCTCAGGGTTCAATGCTCAGTTAAATTCCCCATATTCTACCATGAGACACCAGCTT